ATTCGACAACTTCTCCCGACAATTGCCACATAACTGCTCATAATATATCCAACCATGACTAATAAAACATGAATTGCTCGGGAGTTGCCGAATAACAACAAACATGGCTCGGCATGGCATAATTGGTACGACCGAGAGTAATTATGGCCGATTCCTGAACTTAGCTACATGATTTGGACTTATCATAATTATTCTAACATCATAATAGAGTCAGAAAGAGATTACATCCTCAGTTGCTCGATCAATATGTAAAACTCTTGTGTTTGCTCGGGAACCTTTGGGTAGAAGCTTGCGGACGTGCGTGTGTATGAAAATTAGGTTAATATAAGATGAACTCTCTTAACTATAGCTTATTATACAGCTTAAGTGATAAGCTATATTTTTCACCCAACATCTTAATTTATAGAAGATAAAAGATGGTAATTTTTTGGGAAAAAAATGAAGGCAAGGCGTGGCCTATCGGCGCACGCCACTTGCCGTGCGATGGGGATGACTAAGTGTCTTCATTTGCTTAGTCATCTATTCATTTGCTTAGTCATTGGCTACGGAGCCTCCACATGTACTAAGTGCAATGATGGAAGCACATGAACTTTTGCTCCAAAACTTACGACCATTAACTTTGCTTAAGGCCTAAGGCGTGCTAAGCTTGGCTTAAGCGCGATTAAGCATAATCCTAGACAATTGACGTGAGCTTAACGTGATTGAACATGGATTAATTACATAGAATGTGAATTCCAATACTTAGAAATTATATCCAAGTATTAGTCTTAACCGAACTTAATTATTTTCGGTCGAAACTTGACTTCGAACTTAATTCGAATAATCATAACTCTAATAATTAGTCCCGAATGATATTGATCGATAAGATAAATATTTCGGAACTAAACACGTAATGTTCATTAATAACATAGCGGCTATTACAATCTGCCCTCCTTAAAATATTTCCGTCCTCGGAAATACAAAACGGAACATATATACATAGAATATAAGAAAATATATATATCAAAACTTGAAATCAGGAAAACGAGCGCGAATATCAGCTTCCTGCTCCCAAGTGGCACCATGGCGATCCCACTGGACACGAACGAGGGGAACATCACATTTGCGGAGCCTACGAACCTGTCGGTCCACTACAGCTACCGGTCTTTCCTCATAAGATAGATCTGGCTGAATATGAATATCGGTATGCTGAAGGACATGGTAGGGATCGCACATGTACTTGCGTAACATGGATACATGGAAAACATTATGTACATTAGACAACTCGGGAGGTAAGACTAATCGATAAGCAACTTCACCCACTGGCTCAAGAACTTCGAACGGGCCAATGAATCGAGGATGTAACTTCTCTCTCTTCCCGAGTCGAATGATGCCACGGAATGGACGAACTCTAAGAAAGGCTCGCTCCCCAACATCAAACTGGATATCTCGTCTATGCTGATCGGCTGATGATTTCTGCCGACTCTGAGTTGTCTTTAACCTTTGTCTAATCAACTCCACCTGTTCTGCGGTTTCCTCGATCATCTTCAGACCGAGTACTCGACGCTCACCAACATCGTCCCAATAAAGAGGCGAACGACATTTACGACCGTAAAGTGCCTCGTAAGGAGCCATCTGGATAGAAGCATGACAACTGTTGTTGTAAGCAAACTCGACTAATGGCAATAACGACTCCCACTTAGCACCCTTGTCAACAACCAAAGCTCGTAGTATGTCCTCCAATGTCTGAATAGTCCACTCGGTCTGTCCGTCAGTCTCTGGATGGTAGGCTGAACTGAACTCTAATCGCGTGCCCATCACCTTGTGCAAACTCTCCCAAAATCTGCTGGTGAATCTGGGATCTCTGTCTGACACGATAGTAACGGGCACTCCGTGGAGTCGAATGATCCCACGGGTATAAATTTTAGCCAACTTGTCCAAATACATATTCATAGATACTGGTAAGAAATGAGCAACCTTAGTCAATCTGCCCACCACGACCCAAATAGCATCGTGATGTTCAGACGACCTTAACAACACTGTGGCAAAATCCATCGTAACTTCTTCCCACTTCCACTTCGGAATCTCGAGTGGTTGCAGAAGACCCAAGGGACTCTTGTGTTCTTCTTTGACTTGCTGACAGGTTAAACATTTCCTCACAAAGTTGGCTACGTCTTTCTTCATTCATCTCCACCAGAACGACTTTTTAAAGTCGTGATACATATTCGTGCTCCCTGGGTGGGCTAAATAGGGTGCGGTATGAGCTTCGGTCAGTATCTCTTTCCGCAACACCTCGACTTTTGGTACAACAATCTTGCCTCGAAACTCCAAGGCTCCATCTGTGCCTCGATGGAAACCCTCAACACCGCCGGGCGGACTTTGGCATCAATAGCACGAACAAATTCATCAGAAGCCTGCTCCCGCCGGATCCTTTCCATCAATGTAGGCTGGACCTACATAGAACTAACACTCCCTGTAATTGCTGTAGGAAGTGCATCAACAACCTAAATCTGCATCCGAGTGAACTCCCGGATAAGCTGGTTCTGCTGAGTAACAACATAAGTCAAGTCGCCCTTCACCTTACGGCTTAGGGCATCAGCAACGACATTCACCTTCCCCGGATGGTATTGAATAGTACAATCATAATATTTGACAAGCTCTAACCAATGACGTTGACGCATGTTGAGCTCCTTTTGAGTGAAAATATACTGTAAGCTCTTGTGATCCGTGAAAATCTCGCATCGACCGCCATATAAATAATGTCGCCAAATCTTGAGGGCATGAACAACTGCGGCTAGCTCCAAGTCGTGCGTAGGATAGTTCTGTTCATGTGGCTTTAATTGGCGTAAAGCATAAGCAACGACCTGGCCATCCTGCATAAGTACGCATCCCAAACCCTGTCTCGAAGCATCACTAAAGATGGTGAAACTCCGAGAAGGATCGGGAATAGTCAACACCGGTGCTGTGGTAAGCCTCTTCTTGAGCTCCTGAAAGCTTGACTCACATCGATCAGTCCACTCGAGTTTCACAGATTTCCTCGTCAGCTGGGACAAAGGAAGGGCGATCTTGGAGAAACCCTCGATAAACCTGCGATAATAACCTGCTAAACAGAGGAAACTGCGAACTTCGGATGGATTCTTCAGTGTCGACCAGTCCTGACAGTGGCAACCTTGGATGGATCAACCTCGATACCTGCCTGAGTGATAACATGACCAAGAAATGCTACTCGCTGAAGCCAGAATTCGCATTTGGAGAATTTAGCATATTACTTTTCACGTCTAAGGGTTTCAAAAACAACCCTCATATGCTCCTCGTGCTCCTTCTGGCTCTTGGAGTAGATTAGAACATCATCAATGAAAACAATAACAAACTGATCAAGATAAGGATGGAATATACGGTTCATCAGGTCCATAAATACTGCTGGAGCATTACTAAGGCCAAATGGAATGGCTAAGAACTCGTAATGACCGTTCCGGGTACGGAAAGCGGTCTTTGCAATGTTTGACTCCTTGATCTTCAACTGATGGTAACTGATCGTAAATCAATCTAGGAGAACACACAGGCTCCCCTCAGCTGGTCGAACAAGTCGTCGAGTCTGGGAAGCGGATATTTATTCTTGATAGTTAACCGGTTGAGATCCCGGTAATCGATACACATGTGCATAGAACCGTCCTTCTTTTTTACGAAAAGAACAGCTGTCCCCATGGTGAAACACTCGGTCGGATGAAACCGAGTTTCAATAACTCCTGAATTTGGGTCTTTCCTGCAATTCTTTTGTCCATTCGATAAGGTGCTTTGGAAACTGGGTCGGCTCGTGGAATGAGATCAGTAGAGAACTCTACCTGCCGGTTAGGTGGTTCTCCTGAAAGTTGGTCCGGAAACACATCCACAAACTTACGAACAACAGGCACGTCGTGAGGTGTCCGTGCTTTCGGTTCATCGCTGACAAGGCTCACAAGATAACCCTTACAATCACCTCGTCGTAACATTGTTTTGGCTTTCTCCATGGAAATAACATGAGGTAAAGAACGAGTCTTGGTGCCAAAGAAAATAATATGATCATTTCCCGGAAGATAAAGAGTAAACTCCCGGTCATGGCATCGAATATCTGCATGAAAATATGTTAGCGAATCCATTAAAGAGAATGAGGTCGAAGTCCCTCATCTCGAGAACATAAGCGTCGGTAGGCAAAATATGAACACCGATAGAAAGGCTGGGATCAGCAGCTTTGGCATCGGTCACTATCTTTCGTCCTGAGGCTAAACTCACCTCGAGAGGATCGACAACAGTAATAGAATATACTCCAATGGCATCAAGACATCGTTGCGATATAAAAGAGTGAGTTGCTCCAGTGTCAAATAAAGCGAAGACAGGAACATCATTAAGTATAATCATCCCAGACATAGTACCTGGGTACTGCTCCGCTTTGACCTGATCAACAGCATAAACACGAGCCTGCTGTCTGCCCCTCTGCTACTGTTGGGGTGGCCTCGGGGCCTGTTGTCTGGGCTACTACTACTGCTGCGGCTGCTGTGGCTGCTATGGAGGTTGCTGGGGTCGCTTTGGACAGCGACTAACGAAATGTTCGGGCTCATGACAAAAGTAGCAAATGTCCTGGCCGAAATGACACTCTCCACGATGGGGTCGTCCACAAGTAGGGCATGGTGGAACCTGCTATGGCCTAGCTGCACCTTGTTGTCTCGGACGGTTCCTCCTGTCATTCTGAAAGCCTTTTCTCTTTATCTTCTTGTTCTTCTGTGGTTGGGCAGCAGCGGGTTGAATGGGTGGTACTTCGGATGATTGGGCAGGGGCAGATGGCTGAAGACGATCGTGGTTGGCCTCCCTCCGGATGCTGGCGTCAACCTACTGAGCTATGGTGACAGTACGGGCATAAGTCTGGACGCCGTGACCTACAATTTTATGACGGACTGCTGGCAAAAGCCCGTCGGTGAAACGTCTCGATCTCTTTGTCTCTGTGCTCACTAGATCGGGAACAAAGGCTCCAAGTCGAGTGAATTCTCGCTCGTACTCATCCACTTTACGAGTACCTTGTTTGAGTGCCAGAAACTGACGCTCCATTTCAGCTCGATAATACGCAGGATAATATTTCTCGCGAATTAGCTCCATGAACTTGTCCCATGTACAACCTTCCTTTTCACCTGGACGTATTCCCCAGAAGGTGTTCCACCAGAGACGTGCGTCACCCGTCAATTGGATCTGTGCGCATAAAACACGATAGCGGTCGGGGCAGTCCATGACCTCGAAAATCATTTCAAGGCCCTGGACCCATTCATCAACAATTCGAGGGTCTCCCTGGCCGGAAATTTCTCGGGATGATAGTCACGAAACTGAGCGACTACAGTGGCCTGGGGAACCTCCGGACGATCTGGCTTTCTACGTGGCGGCATCTGAATATTGGAAAATGTTCGATATTATCAGATACGGGTAAAATACTTTAACTGATGAATAAGGCGCACAAATCGCTTGACGAGTTGCTAAACATGACTTCGTAAATACTGACAATGAATCATGAACATACTGAACATAACTCGAGCATCCTAATTAAGTCATAACTGTGGTTTTTTGAGCATAGATATAGTCATTTGTTTATAATTTAAAACATGAATCAACACTTACCTGTAGTCGGCGAGGCGTGAGCGTGACGTGTTCAGGTTTTATAAAAATTTCTGACTCGTAAAAGTTTTCAAAAATGCAGAAACGTGCTCTGATACCAACTGTAACACCCCGCTATGTCATAATTATCAGAGTTAAATTTTCGCAAAATCTTTTATCAAAAATACTGATTAATTTGCGAAATCGTAGTTCGGAGTGCTACCATAACGATAACTTTGCTTTGAAAACTGTTATTTTAGTTTTTAAGAAAAACGGGTTATCATAATATAAACAATCCGACTAGTAAATCGGATCAAAAGGCTAAGTTTGACAAACAGTAAAAGTCAGCGGAAATCGTAGCGTGGAAAAATATTTAGCTCCACTACGGGAGATAGTAACAACACTGCTATGCCAAATTCAAACTGTATAAACATGATTCTGAACCGTCCGTCAACTCACTCCTTCAGTCCGACTCTGTGACATGAAAAAAAACATATATAATATAGGGCGTGAGCACTAAAGTCCACTGTGCTCCATAGGAACTCATACTAAAGTAAACAGTGAAAATAATTGCAATATCATGATCCTGGCATATACATAACCATCAACATGAACCGGTAAGACATTACCATCACATAATCTTTACCTCATAACCGTTACCTCATCTGCCAGCATGAAAATACCGGACACCATGTGCACACTCTAGTGGGCAGACTAGGCCACTAGAACCCAGAATGGACCGGCGACCATTCCAAGCGGATACATAACATAACGTGATACATACCTCAAACATGGTACCGTAATTATAATCAATGTAATACCCAGTCTGAGTCCCCACCTGAATCGTCGATATGAAACTGGAAGTGCTGATAATCGTGAACTGTTCAAACTATAACATAATATAAACAAATACTAAGTACTATGCTCAGACTGATTAACATAGTTGTTTAATATGTTAAGATGCTCGACTTGATCTTGACAGGACCTCTAGACTTAACCGGTATAGCCGGAACGGGTTTAAAATAGAACTGGACTAACATGAAATTACTGAACATGACCGGACTCGGAATCTAACTGAAATCTTGAAATAAACCTGAACCGAGACATTAGACATTAAACCATAACTTAAACCAGTCTGAACCGGCCAGTCTGCGGTCTGGCCGTACCGCCGGCCCGCTGTGGCCGGGCGGTCGGCCGCTGGCTTGGCCAACCGGCTCGGTCCCGTGCTGGGCTTGCTGGAGCCTGGGCACGGTCGCTGG